TAGGTACGTAGGGACCTAACGGACAGATCCGTGTTTCCATGGAAACCCACCTATCTGCGTCGGTTGGACCTATACTGCCTGCTGCCACCCTGATAAGCGGCTTACTCTCATGGTTCTCTCCACTCTTCTTCGCCGAGGCATCCCCCGACCCCTCCCCCCCGTCCCCCGCCGCCCCTCCAACCACTCCATCTCCTCGACACTCTGCCCTCGGCACCCCGTGTCTCCCGCCGCCGGGCCCTCTTTCCGTGCGGCCGGGTGAAAGAGAGCGAAACGGCGAAAGATGGACGGAAAAGAGAAGAGAGACGATGCTGCTTTCCGCCGAATCGTGCCGCTAAAGGAAAGCGACGCGAAAGCACTCTCTCTCTCTCTCTCTCTCTCTCTCTCTCTCTCTCTCCCCCCTCTCCCTCCCTCTCTCTCTCTCTCTCTCTCCTCCCTTCACCTTGTTCCACTTTATTCTATACTCTATACTCTCGCTCTGTCTCTTTCTCTCTCGGTCTCTCCCTTTCAGTAGCGCGCACCCTCACCTTTGTCCTCGCTTTCCGCGATCTCTTTTCGTCTACGCGCGCTCCGTGGCACACTGGAAAATTTATGCAGTCAATTACCGACCCGGCGACACGACCTTCGAAGAGCGGAGTCGCGGACACGAAGAGGAAAATTCTCTCCGAAATCGCTGCTTTGTCTTTCTGTTTGGTGTGCCGAGTCTCCCAAGGGTTTCTCGCTCGCCAGGTGCTTGGAAAACATCAGTTCTCTACAGGGGGCGGGAGGGAGGAACATTCCAGGCTTCGCTCGACCACGGAATAGCATAATGGAATGTTCTGTGCGCAAATGTTCTTTTTATCAAGACTCTCTCGAATCATCGTGCCGATATCGCGATAATTCCTTAGTCGTTTCGTCTCGAGGCGAACAAAAAAAATTGCATCTCCACGATCTCGTCTATTACTGGAACAACGTTCGAAACGTCGTTTCGTAACGCGTATTTGAACGGACGTATTGCAATTGCCTGTATAACGTTTAAAGTGATTTTTTTCTTTACATTTATTCTAGAAACTTAAAACTCTCTTGCGAGAGAGGTGCACTCTCACACGCGTATTTTTCGCCAACCTGCAACGAGAGAGCTGTAGCTGGGAAGCCCCGAGATTGCTCGACATTCGTACGGTTTCAGTCGATGCATCGATTTGCATGGCAATCAATAACGGCGAGCATGGCGTCCGCGTGAAATAGTCTTACAGCGACGGCTAGCAACGCGTTAAAATGCAAAATTAACACGCCGATAATTCAAATATTCACAAGCGCGAGCGCTAATAATAATAGTTTTTAATCCACATGCAAGAGAGAGAGAGAGAGAGAGAGAGAG